TTGTACTCTCTTGCGGGTTTTGTCTCTGCGCGAATTTTAAACTACCGGCGGCGGCCGCGGCGCGCTGACTCCTTATGGCGGCGTAGGCTTGGTGAGGTCTCCATGCCTATAAAGACCAAACGAAGTAAGTTTTATTTCTGCGATGTTAAACATCTGTAAGCTAGCTAAACACCAAATAAAATAAATTCCACTTACTGCTCCATAAATGTAACCATCATTATAAATTGCGACGAACTTGTCTTCATTTTTATTATTATTATTTGATTAAAATAATAACAAAAAATATGCAATGCGCTCCAAAAACTTCTGCAAGCTCGCACAATAATTTTCAACATGGCGCGTTTGATAGATTATAACCAGCACAAAGTTGATAGACAGCCGCTTTCATTAAGAACACTGAATGTGATTGTCATTCTATTTGGTCGGTTTATCGCAGGATACCAACATTAAGAAAAATAATGGACGCAATTCTTGGTGAACAAACGCGTATCCAATGGTATGCTTTGATGGCAACTCGCACTCGCGTATACAGAGTGGAATTTTGTAATGCCACCTACAAAATTCCACCCTGTATACTCTCTACGATGTGTTTAAAGTCAACTCGGTATTCGATATCGTAGTCATTCTGACAGAGTTAACAAACTCACACTAAGCACTCTGGCCTTCACTTTGTACGTGTCGCCAAATACTTTGAGTAAGATGGAACTAGGGTTTCTGATTTCTCGAGCTCTTTAGTGAATCACACATTGTGTTCCATCTGACTTCTTTTACTAAACTATCGCCTTGGTGAGTGAATATTTAGCATTCGCAAAATGATTCTCATTAATATTAAAGATACTTTGGGAAGCTCCGCATTCGTTTTCAAAGTCTTCCTTTATAATGTTAAATATATTTGTTGTCTCTGCTGACATTGAACGTACAGGTGATGACAGTCGATCGGGGAAGGTGCTTTGATTGGGTCTTGGACTTATGGGACGAGACACAGGTGATTATTTTCTCATTAATTGTTTCATGAAGCGTAACATCAGGTTCAGAAGGTTTTATGTGCTGGACAAGGCTAAGAGAGGAGTTAGTGAATATTTGTTTGTCATGCATTTTATTGTGATTGCTAAGTGGTCTAGGAATTAACGGAGAATAGGGTGGAGGCTCTATACTCTTTTCATCAACATCTTCATGAAATCTTGTGTTAAAATACCCCGAGCACCCCATGCCAGAAAAAAGCAGTTCGACACTCTCCTCGCAACTGATTTCATGAGTCGAAACGTCATGCTCACTTTTGCGATTGGTGTCGGCACAAGGCAAAGCTGCAGAAGAAAGAAAAGCATTACGCGAAACAAATAAACTCACATTCGCATCCGGGAACAAGTAAATATGTACAGTCACGGAATGAAAAGGTTCGTCAGTTTTCAAATTGATTCCTTCAACGAATCGCGAGCACATATTACCTTTTGAAACTATGTTACAGAATAATCTCGAGTTAGAGAAAATAATCTTTAACTGTTCATCAGTAAAGTTCAAAATTATTCAGATCAAAGTTGTTTGACGATTTATCTTGTCAAGAAGATTATGATTCATAAACTAAAACCTTCTTGTTGGTTCAACCTGCCATTATTATTTCTTTTAAATAAAAAAAAAATATTGTCAATTGGTCAATGTCATCATTGCATTGCACTGATGGGATAGAAAAATAAACAAGCAAAACCTTATTCGTTAGCAAACGTCATATTTATTTAAATGTTAGCAGCACTGTTTCTTGCACTGTTATGTTGGCAGGTTTGACTCTCACAGTACCTAGTGCAAGCGAAAACCGACACTAAGGTGACGAAACTTTTCATTCCGCGACTGTACATAACTACATACATATACAAATAAGGATTTGAGGAATAATATAAAACTGAAAATGACATGCTGAAATATGCTAGCATTTAGAAAAACTTAAATTTAAAATTTAAAAAACCCCCGACACTAAAAACCTCTAAAAATAATAATAATAACAACTTAATTTTAGGTAGGTACCTACTAACACAAGAACAAGACGGGGTCACCAATGTTGAGTCCTACTCGATTAGCACCTATCAGGTCTTATGTAGGGGTGGAAATGATACGCACTAATTCTGGCAATACCGATTTATATTAAATTTTGTCTGCGTGCTTACATAGTGCTCTCGAATTAAGGACTAAATATTTTAAGTCGGGAGCGCCGATCGCTCGGCGTCCGTTATCAGGTTACATTGTACATATCTATTAATTACTCATACATTTGCATGGAGTGGCTGTATGTGTGTGCTGTGTCGGCACCCACAACCTAAAATCATGGAGATATAGGGTCTAGTACCAAATTAATATTTTTGAGTGTATTTTAATAGGTTTGTCCTAATAAGTATTGAAGCAAACTAATTTAAAGTGATCACCAATAAATAATATTTTATTTTCTACCCCTTTTTATTTTCTGGCCGATAAGCACATTTTTGGCTTCTAGTGGGGGATTAGCTAGCTTCAAGCGTATTGCTAATCCGACAATATGTATGTTTCATTTCCCATGCATCCAATCCTTATTGTGAGGTAGATCCACTCTCGCAACTTGGCCCACTGATAGGCTTCTGACCAGAGCCCCGATTACGGTAACTTTTAACGTCTACAATCCAGACACGCTTCTCGATTCTGCGATACGATTGGTCAAAACAGCTAACGTACGCTGTTGAACGACCAATCGTATCGCAGAATCGAGAAGCGTGTCTGGATTGTAGACGTTAAAAGTTACCGTAATCGGGGCTCAGACTTTCAGAGTTATACTTGGTAACGTCGCTGGTGTGGCCAAAAACAATATGGAGCCACCGTTAGTATGAAGAGTTATTTATTTCCTTCACACCGCGGTTAGAAGTCGAAACTTCTGGAGGGGACTGTAGGTGTTTTCGTTTTGCGGTATATATTATTTTTGCCTTGATTATTTATTAATCGATCTTTATAAGTAATTAGAGATAAAAGTGAACGTGGGCCAGCAGACATATGGAGAGGATGGAAATGTGAAAGGTAAAATACTCACGGGAGATGTTCTGTAGGCAAGAACCTCAGTACGATCTGGGTTTTCTCGGGCGCTGGAGTCCAGGTGGTATCGTCTGCCTGGACGTCTTCTTCGATGATGATCGAGTTAGGAGGTATTTCACACACCCAATGCACTGCACCATATGTGGTCCACGAAATACACTCGCGGGAGATCTCCAAATGCGATTAACACAATATAAAACGATAAATAAATTCAGTCCAGAGCTGTGGGACCGAACGCGGCGCGGGAGGTGCTTTCAACGTCACATTGCAAGCCAAACTAATGATCCTCTTATCGATGCAGAGGGCGTAGATGTTACGAATCTCTCGATGTTTTCTTCTCACTCGCTCAAGGGCACCTTGTCCGCCCAAATTCCGACCTCACCGCCTGAGTCACAGCACTCACAGCGCGCGTTACAGCGGCCGAGAGGGTCTCCTCACAGCAGTGGGTGTTGACAGGTGTCTCAGATGCAGCAGCGGCAGGGTTGACATCAGCGCCGTACACCAGTACGTACATGATTACCAAATCATGCTGTGGAGCTTCTTGAGTATGGGAGTCAGGAGTGTATCCCCAAAGTCTGGTATGGGCAGCGGGGCCACCTGCGTCTTTCGTTTTTGTGCGGACTTCGGAGCCTTGGCCGCCCTCTGGGATGGTGGGGCCGTGGGGACAGCGAGTCAATGGTCAGGATTGAGGGGCAGCGTGGCCCTGGCGTGGTATTGGCTACAGGACGCAGCATGTCTGAGGTGATAGAGTCTATGGAACCCACACGGCCGTGCCCCGCCAGGCCCGGCCGTCGTCGAAGATGTCAAATCTTAAATGGACCCGAGACTGATGCGTGAGTAAAGATAAAAGTAATTCTAGCTTAAACTGACGTAGGCCAAAGTTGGCATGTGCAAAGTCAACACATTTTTCACGCAACAGCGGAGTCAACTTACACATTATGCAGCAGCTCTGGAGAGGCTAGGAACTGCACCGAATCCATCATTCGAATAGTTTGTACGCAGTTGCGCACAACACATGCCATCTGATGAAGTTCCCTGCCACCATCCAGTCATTCTACTGGCCTTTTAATAATTCCGTGTACTTTAAAAGCGTTTATTAAAAGGTCCATATTTTCGTGCTTTTCACTAAGACACGTGTTTCGCGTATTCAAATTGGGCTGTTGCACCCAAAAAGGTTTCATTCGTGTGAAGGTTACGTAACTAATCGGTGGAAACACTGAATTCAAGTATTTCTGGTGCAAATTTTTTATGGTATCTGTCATTAGGCGTTTCTGTTTTTTTACACCATGTCGTGTGACGGTATCATTCTTACCAGGGCAGCAATCCAGTGGTGGGGCATATGGGGAGCGCTTCGGATTGGGCCTGTGGCTTGGCCTCTGCGGTCTCCCGACCTGACTCCTTTAGACTTCTTTTTGTGGGGACGTGCAAAAACAATAGTGTATGACAGTGGCGATGCCCCAAGTAATGTACCGAAACTTGAAGCTTAATTTAATGTGGCTGAAGCTAAGGCACGAGTCTTAATATTAAATGTCGGTTCCGGGTAAAAGTCATATTTCGGTCGGACACTAATATTTGTAAAATTGAATCGTACTATTGTAACAACCACTAACTTTCATTTATGTTTAAATGTAAATCATGAAAATCAAAATTGTGTCAACCCTAGACTACTTGCTTAGCTGTTTCTTTTGGCGACATTTCTTTCCCAATTTTGTGGATTCCTTTTGCGTTTCCATAAGAAACGATTTCTTACTACGTTGGGGCGATCATCATGATAACAATTTTAGCACGTTTATTCATGTTGAGCCTCAAAAACTTTTATAATGCAATTAAAACTGGAGATACAAAATGTAAGAAACACTCGTTTTCCACCATCTTGCACATCGCCCGAATTCGCTACTGTGAATGTTTGAACGCGCACTAGCGCAGCAGTTTTGATTCAAACCGCACAGAAATGGGCCGTCTTTGAAACTAAACGTCGTTTTAATTAAAATTATTGAAATATATTATGAATTATGATATTCGAGTGAAATCTTAGAGAAAAAAATCAAGAAACAAAATTGTTCCATATATTTGTAAGGTATACAATATTGGCGGACTAACAAGTGCATCGGTCACTTCTTGTGCGTACTTGCTGACTGTAGTTTGACCTAAATGTTTTGCCATTCCAACTAGTCTTTGGTACGATCCAGTAGCGTAAAAAGACAATGCACAAAGGACGTGTGTAAACAAAATCAGAAATAGTAAATTCATCAGTAACTCATTAATATATTTTTTCAGAATGTTTACTTATCTCACCTTAAGTTCTCTAAGCTAATTCGTTTGGTTGACTTCAAAGAAATCTTTCGACGTAATTTATCACATAAGAAAATAAAAGCTTCTTTACTAAGACGAAACCTATTCTTAAACTCGGTTTCGTTTAGATCTATTTGTTTTTCTCTGCTTACATCTACGACTTATTTCTCTGTATAAGGCATTGTTGTGTATGTGAGTCAAAATAACGAAAACTGTATCTTTATAAAAAATACTTTCGTACTTCACAATAATAATGGTACAATTGTTATAAACTAAGTACTGTATTATGGCTAAGGCTGCTAGTTGGATGAATAATGAACGAAGAATGACCACGGATCGTGGTTGTAGCTCCTATTTATAGGAGGTTTGCGGCAGCGCCCTGTTTGTGGAATCTTCCAGTAAAGTCCACGGTGTTATGAATTTGACATTTCATAACGACGTCTTTGTTCTTATTTTTAATGTCTGCATTGTTGTGGCTGGGTTGACTTGTGTGCGGGGAAACAGGACTTCCAATAAACACCTTGTAGATGTCAATACTGGTTTTATTCGTCTTTGTAATAACAATACAATTAATAATGCACGATCAAGATAGAGAGCAACCGAGAGTAAGTAAGTGGGCGGAACCGGACGCCGCTGAGCTGTCAAGTCCGAGATTTTATAGGGGTAGGGCTGTATCCAGTGGCTGTAGTATTTAAGAATGATTGGGATTAATGCTAATGAAACGACCATGACAATGCAACTGACATTTATTGTCTATGAACACAACGAGACGCTTTGCACAGACAATCAATCACTAAACTCTATGACATCTCTCTTCTTTTTATAAGTTTTTGAGAAGTCAACTTATTTAATACTTAAAACTATAATACACATCTTAAGTAGAGAAGTAATACTTAACAATAAACATTTTTAATAATACTGTTTGCTTACATTTGAGAATCTTTTATTTGTTTAAATATTTCTATTCAAACCCGTATCTTTGAGGTGGATGAACAATTCTACCAGTCCTAGTTCTATGATAAGGCGGCTGAGCAGCTTCCACCAATCCACTCTCTCCCGTTGTGGAAGTATGCGCAATCCCCTCGATCCTCAGACTCAATTAACTGATTCAACTCACTTTCTTGCCTCGATCTACACATTTTAGCGAAATGACCGAATCGCTCACATCGATAGCACTTCACATTACGAGCCCAACACTTGTTACTGACACTATTACTAGTGTTGCCACGTTGTATTGGTGGATGTCCCTAGACTGCCATTCGAAAGTCCCTAGATATAGGTAAATTTAGTAACATAAAAAGTCTCCAGATGTCGCTAAATATTTTTTTAATAAAGAAACAGTAAAACGAAGAATCAAATTTATTTATTGAGTAAAAATATTAAAAACAAAACTTAAAAGTCTAACTCAACATCAAATAATGTAGGAAACTCTTCATCTTCACTATCTTCATCAGTTCGGATGGTTTGCGACGTAGACGGCTGTTGCAATTCCGTGTTTGTTTGGCCTCTGAATGAATATTTCCCATCTTTACGGATTTGGTTTACTACTTCATCCGGTAGTTGATAGCTAAAACAATTAGTCTTACGGATTTTTAGCTGGTTTCGCAAAAACATAATGCTATTCAACGTTGACACCGTCATTCTATTCCTCAGTTTCGATTTGACAATATTCATCATGCTGAAAATTTTTCTACTTCAGCGTTCGAATGGGACAACGTTAGGTATCCTTCCGTTTGGCCAAATTACTTTTCGCCAAATTTCACTTCGCAAACAACTTATCGCCAAAGTTTCGTTTCCCAAATGAACTTTTAGCAACTGTACTTTTCGCAACTAATTCATTTGGTCAAATTATCATTTGGCCAAATTTTACTTGGCAAATGTTTATATAGCAAATGTTTTATGTTGCCAAATATTATATCCCAAATAATTTGTTTGGTCAAATTGACACTTCGCATACTTACCCACCGTTACCCACAAATCAAATCATAAGGCACATGATCATGGTTTTCACAATAATTTTATGTAAAACATTGCAGAAAATAGTATGGTTGCAAAAAGTAAGTTGCAGAAAATAGTAGGTTAGGTTAGAACAGTGACCCTTAATGCGCGAAGGCGAGCGAAGCGTGCCGCGGCAGCGGCCGCCGAGCGCTAGAATCACCTCTATTGTTAATGAATCATTTGGAAATTTCGATACAAAGAATGAAATAAGGAAATTAATGTAGAACAAATTTTATATTAACTCCCCACTAAACAAAATCATAACCACAAGCTAATTTGTGTACCATTCTATGCACCAATCAAATTATTTTGTAAATAGTTTATCGTGAAATATTTTTGCCTAATGAAACATTTGGCAAACCATACTTTGCCAAACAATAATTTGCTAAACAATAATATGCCAAAAAAAACATTTGCGAATTAAAAGTTTGCAATAAGTTGCTTTGCCAAATGAGAATTTGCCAAATGAAAATTTGCGAAACGTTGTTTGCGATGTGATAATTTGGGAAACGTTTTTTGGCCAAACATTAGTAATCCGACAACGTTAACACTGAAAATGCTAAATTAGACAGTTCTTCAAATCGAATAGCTCCAGAGTAATAGTCTATTACCCGTATTCACAAACGATGCTTGCGTAAGTGAAGCAGCAAATCAAACGTACAGCGTTGAATAGAGCTCTGTGATTGGTTCGTGTGTCACCCTGTGGGGGCACGCGCACTGTGAGACCTCATAGTAATGTTTGTGAATACGAGCGTATGATTGCGACCGCACCGATCACATTTAACCGCTGCCTCCTTTCTGCGCTCCTGCTTTACTGGGGGACGCGGTTCTCGCCCGCGCTGCTGCTGCTGGGTCTGGTTCCCGAGAAGGAGCGTGGGTTCGTACTCCACACCTGACACCACGTAGTATTTAAGAATGATTAGGATTAATGCTAATGAAACGACCATGACAATACAACTGACATTTATTGTCCATGAACACAACGAGACGCTTTGCACAGACAATCTCAATGAAACTCTATGACAGTGGCCAACATTCTCTCTCTTGTTATTTATAGGTTCAGTCGTTGCGGCTGCCTAATAGTTCGGCCGGCGTAACGTCATTTCTCTTGCTGGCTGAGGAGGAGTTAACACGGTTTTCTGCAATACCGGGCATTTAGCATGCAATCCTCCACCACTCATTTCACTTGTCATCAGTGGAGGTGAAGATGGTGTGGCACTTGCCCTCGATGAAGACGGTGTGGTGGAGCTCATTTAACAATGCACAGTGCACACGCTATATTAAAATCAGCCATAAAGCACGGTTAAAATATTCTTGCCGAAATAACTTGCCGTTTTATTTTACCGTTTATCACTTCAACTACCTATCGACACATTGTTCACACATCCTGACGTCACCGTGTCTAAAATAAATTCTATAAACACTATTTTCATTGCGGAATTCTTTAGACATAATATCAGAGTCACTTTCGGTTGCTGGGAACGGACCAAGTGATTGTAATAATTATTGTACCATCACAACAAACAAAAAGAAATGGCTTGATTACAATATTTGTGCAGACTGTATGAGTCTTTTTTGGTATGAAAAATTACTGCTGCTTTAAACATACACAACACATATACCTAAGTGCCGTCAAAAATGACAATCGCAGGCTTAATATTCTCTGCTAAATCTGGATTACCAAATAAACCATCTGGAATAAATTTTTTTCTGAGCTACAGCTTGGATTCACAAACATCCTAATCCCAAATATAATGGCACAAACGAATTTGTTAAACAATTTCTAGCTTTAGACATGTATCTTTCTAAAGTACTTCTTGGAAGTTTAAACAATGTTGACAATCGTTTCGCTTTTGTTCAGCATCTGTAACGTTCAGTAACTGTACAATGTACATAGGGGCGTTTTCGACCAATCATTTTGATTAAACCCGAGTTCCAACTTTCGCTACAGTTATAAGTCCGATGTCTTTCGCTGAAAACCGACCACATTTTTCTAACATCGACATTTTTGAGCCAGTATTTCATATAACTTTGTAACTTTAACATATTTGGGTAATCTTCACTCATACTTAATATGTTTTTTATAATATACACTCAACATCAAATAAACCGCACCTTCCGCGACGCGAACTTTAAAGATTTTCTTCTGACTCAATCATGGTACCCCAACAATATTGGTGTTATTTGAAAGCCCAATAAATAAAGAAAATCGCATTTCATTTCTAAATAAATGATTTACATATACCATAAATGTGACTTGAAAAGAGACCTCACTTTGGGCTCACCTCTGGGATCAGTTAGACCAATTTTTATGGTTATAAAACCAAATAATGATGTCACGTGTCCTCTTTAACAGATGGATAGCGATTAATCCCAACTTAACAGTTTTATAGCCATAAAAGTTGGCTGAAGCGTAACTAGGACAGTATTAGCCCATTCAGATTTTAATGGTTTAAAAACACTTACGTCAGCTGGTTGCATCAGATGTGTTGTATTTGTCTTCTATCCATTTGTTTGTTCGTAGATCGCAACTACGCTCTGCTACCATATCACTGCATGCATGTCTGACCTCCGGATCCACAATTGTGATTGATCCTTTGAACCATGACAAATTGTTTGATCTAGTTTCCCTATCCTGGATTTGGCAAACGATATCTTTTAGAGATCTTAATTGTTCCTTATGTTCTTGGTCCAAACCCTTTTTGTACAATAAATCTGTCAAGATGCCTGATATAGCCAAGGACTAAACTATATCCGGATCACTTGTCTCTGAGAATACTATCAAGGCAGGATAAGCTGTATAAGCCTCTTCTGACTTGAGGAAATGCTTCAAATACATGTATTTCATGTAATTTCGGCCCAAGGACCCAAGGTCCATATTGTTCAAGGGATAAGAGGACGGAGTTTTGTGGGGAACCGTCAAAAACTCCATCTGAAAGTTATTTCCTCTCCACATATTGACGACTCTAGGATGTAATGACAATTTCTCTATTAAATGAAAGACCGTACCCAATATAGTAGGTCTAGGTTTCTTCGATTCTGTAACAGAGCGTCTACTCAGACAAGATATGGCACCTGCTCGACTTAAACCATCTAACAACCCGATTAGATAGCTAGCTGGAAGATTTCTGTCCTTCATGCCGACCGGGAACAATGATGAGTCATTTGCTGTTTGACTGCGCTGGTACACTAACATGCCGTATAGGAATCCCTGTGCACGACCAATATGGAAACTCTTGTCAAAAATGGAAAGGAGATCCCAATTGCATGGGTGTAACCGGATCAATTTCAATTCTTTGAACCATGGGGCATTTTACTATAGTTTCGCACTCACATCTATATGTTGGAATACTTGTGAGGCTTCCAAAGTTATATCATCAACTTCTCTTATACAGCATAAACAAGATGCATGGAAGTGGTAAAATCCTTGATCAGCCCTATTGTCATGAAGCTCTCCTGCAGTGATCTGTGAGTAAATTAACAAGCTTTGATACATAAAATCATGATTTTTGCTGTTCAAATCAGATAGAGTATCTGTTGTGGCACACATCCTAGCTAGTTTGACCGGTGAATGACCAGAGAATCCTCCTGAACTCTGTCGTGAGCATGAGAATCTATGAGGAGCTGAACCGGTTCTCCTGAATGTGGTGTCTGTTGCTCCTGAATCTTCTCCTGTCAAGGAATCTAAATTCATTTTTATACTTTGAGCTAAGTTGGACTGAGCAGCAATGAACCAGTTTATGGAATTCCTGAGTCGACTGGCTCTCTCTATCAGAGGAACTACTGCCTCTCTTTCCCAAGGGGTCAGAAGACTGGTGGTCTCGGATGTCCTTGAGCCTAAATAGGCTTGATACGGTCCCCTGGTTTCCCAGTAGTTGTGTAGTCCATTTGGGATTAAAACGGAGATATATGTTCCTAAAGCCCCTGGGAGTATGCATAAACTACACCTACCTTGATACATGCTATACTTGTGTATCAATTCCAGTGGGTGAGGGACTGTTGCACCAATAACAGGTGACCCCCAAGATCTGAGTCTCAATTCATCGGCATATCGACTAGAACAAGTCCATATCTTCAAATGGGATTCCCCCAGCTTGGATTTCTCGATGAGGCCAACGATGCTTATGATCTCACTTCTTACTGCAATCTTATCCACATCTGCACTCATTTTCTTTGAGCAAACATTTCTAATGGTCTTGGAGTTTTCAAACAGTCCAATCAATGAGTCTGTTATCCCTAGATAAGTAGATGACTTATACTCACTTAAGAATCTCGGGAATAGTGGCTTTATTGATTTTAAGTAATTCAAAAATCTCGGCTCTTCTGTCCGAGAATATAATAATGCGTCTCGTACATGGAAGTTCTTTATTTTCGGAATATTGGCTAATAGCGATCTTTTGACCTCTTGTTTTATCATAGTCAAAGCTTTTATCCCAGTGGGTAGGTTCAAAGACAAAGGATCTTCAAGCAGTTTCATGAAGGAAGCTGTTGATATCCTTCCTAATTTTAGTGTGATGATGTGAAGTATACTTTTCCTTAATTCAGGATCTATATGATCATGGATTATCTTGAATGATGCAAGAGACTCAGTAACTGGGTCCGGAAACATCCTCATTAGGAATCTTCCTGGGGACATCCCGGTGATCCCTCCCAGAGATGGGTCTAAATACAATAATCCTGCCTTATAAGTAAATGTTTTCAGGAGGTTCGCATTTTGTATAGCATTTCGGGTAGACTGTTTTAAAGCAGGATTATGTCTCTCCAAAAGATCATTCACTAAATTACCCAAAAAATTGTAATGGACCATCGCATTCAAGGGACTTTCTGAATAATGGGCTACAGTTAATGCATTGGATGAAACTGTTGAGAGAATATTCCCTAGACAAGGGAGCTGATCATTGGATACACATGTCACTCTTGACCATCTTTTTGTCTCAAGCCCTCTTATGTTTCCTCTAAAAAACAGGTACTTTCCCATAGCTGAGAAAATCAGCTGATCTCATCGTCTCATCTCTGTTTATAATAAGTCCTAATCTTCTAGCCCCTTCTTCAATCTCAGACATTATTGCATCGTTGTTGCGGGAGATATCATTTAGGCATTTCATCAGTTCGGCTTCATCCGGGGTCTTATGTAAGGAGTATTGTGTGCAGATAACTTGATTGTCTCCTTGGGCCAATATCTGAACCCGGGTGTTTCGTCGAATACTGGCTCTTCTAATTATGAGCAAGTTAGTGATGCTCCATCCCTTCTGTCTGAGCCCTTCTAACCCTCCAGCCTGTCCCTGCCAACAAACCAAATGCCCAGGTTTGTTAACTACCCTTCCTCCTACGACATCCATCAGATCTGGTCTTTGATTGTAGTAGATCAAGCTTTTCTCAAAGAATTTATGAGTTCTCTCAATTAAATTTGGATAACCTAGAAATTGACCCATGACTCTAAATGTCGGATTGTTAGTTTCTCCTCTCTGGTGGTTATTCCACTTTTCATAATCCACGTGATTTGAAAAGCAGACATGTTCATAATCGTCTAATCCTTGTCCATATGTGTTATCCATTAATTTTTTGGTAAGAACTGTGGAGTTATCCGCCATGGTCAATCCTTTGAATAGAGGGACGAAATGCTTCTTGATTAAATATTCTGTGATTACAAAGTACTCTCTTAACTCCCATGACATTAAAGCAAAAAACCTACCTTTTATCTTCAGTTCTCTTTCTTTTCCTTTTAAGCCAATGAGTAATTTCTCAGCAGAGAGACCCCTTCTATCAATATCTTCTAAAAAGGCAGGCCAGTTGGTTGGTTTTCTGTTTAAATAAGGCTCCATGACTTTTTTGCTGGGAACAGGTTTCTCGGACCTGGATAGCACATGTTGTTTTAGCTCTTCTAAGTCACAAGAGTGACTCTTGTCCGAATAAATTAGAGAGGGGTCTATCATATCGGGGATATCGAAACATTTGGTCAGCGGCAGCTCATGCCAATGGGGCCCAAAATCCAGAATCTGTTTCGGTGTTGGCCATGTCTTATCTTCTATATGAGCCTTGAATATGTGATCTTCTGGTACAAGGTTTGAATCAACATAACAAGTCCTGTCTTTGTCAAAAGACAATGCCGGAAATTGGCGTCTTTTTTTTTTCGCGCGGCCATCGACCAAACCTTGTTTTTTGATTACAAAATAGTGTAATAAACCAAACTTACTATGACATGTATACCCCTAAACTCAGTCTGAACTGAGTTACAAGCATTAGAAGTTTGATGATTTTGCATACTAGATTCGCTTTTTGCACATAAGTTTTGTATGAAATTACAGTCTAAAAATGGATGTCCAACACGTTAATTACAATGTTCACCAAAAGAAAGTTCACGGTTTCACTTTTTTTTAACGATGTTACAGCGTCAGATCGTTGGTGGTCACAATTTGTAGGTGGGTGCGGGGTGTTTGTCCAATAACTACATATTTATGTAAACCGTATTTATTTTCGCGTGTTCTTCAATAAACGTACATACTGTAACACCGGAGTGGGATGACTGGCGAGCTGGCCGAACGGCCGGGCTGCGACGCCTGAATATGCTGACACTAAATATTGTTTCATAGAATTGCGTCATCGCGACCCCACAGTTCATATCATTTTCGCCCATTACGAAATCAATATGTTTATTTATACAAGTCTCACACTCACTGTAAGCACATTTCTTTGATTTCACATCACATACGACCATAGCCACAAGATCATCAAGGTCTTTAGTTGCTAACACTCCAATCGATTTGAGAACAGTAGCTTTCATTTGTAAATTTTCATGTCTCTTACATACGAAAGTATCACGCTTTTCAACTTTTGGTGGCAGAATGTAAAATTACCTATATTGATGAAACGTAGATAGGTTTCCTCCTTTTTGAACATATTTCTAATGGAGTTTATCTGAGTGCTCATCTTCAGTAAATATATTTCTTGTTATTTTACCCGTCTCAGAAGGTCTTGATTTCTTGAAAGTTTTGACTTTAAATGGGGATGTGAAACTTGATACTAATGATGGTTTCAATGGTGACAATGCCTTATCTTTATACTCTGCGCCATCTTGCACAGCTTTACTTCTGAATTTGTGCGCCGGTCTTCGGTTTTCCGCGAAGGCTTTGATGAAATGATACTACAGAATGACTTGCTGATGATGATGGTTTACTCGTAGTTTAAAATTTACAATATTATGGAAAATTGATGTTTGTCACTCGGTAGTTGAAAGCGCACTGACTTTACTACGATGACTGCGGCGTTCGCGCCGCCGCTGTTTGACGTGAGACGATGTTGCCATGCTTCAAGCATCAGGCGTTTGGCCTGAACAATACTTGAACTGACTTATTCCACATCGTAAGTTAAAGCTTTCATAGCGTTTCTGGCGGCATTATGAAGAACATGACAGTTACAATTTGCTTTAAGGACTTTGGTATCGGAATATTTATCATTGATTTTTTGGTACACGGAATTGTGAGCACCATAATTAACCGATGCAGAGAACGCAGACAGCAAAGTTGTGTCTTAGTCATGTTGAAGCAAAAAACTGTCAATATTTTCAAAATGTTTTTGAGATGTTTCGTTCGAATCCTCATAAAAATCCAATAATTATCCTGAACACCCTTTTCTTGGTCAAAGTATCTGATGACAATTGGATACATTTTCTGGGATCCTTTATTTGAGGCGTTGATAGCAATCGAAAAGTGAACCCCGCCTCCAGATTGAGTCCTTTTTAGGTCTTGTATTGTTGACTCGATTGAATTCGGTGCTAGGACATTCAAAACAATGGCTTCTGCTTTTGTTCTGCCGCAGTGAACTTTATGTGATAATGGTGCATCGTAATAAAGAGATTTATTTAATTTAATACCACAATAGGTGCTCAAAGCTAAGCATGTTGTTCAAGCAAGTCCACATATCAGATGTAATCGAAACAGCCTTGGCTTTTGATATTTCATCATTTTCATTCTGCATTGAATGCAGTGTAATGGTAAACCGAATAAATGGTAGGCCGAATATCCGGTTCGGTAAAGATTAAACCGAATAGTATTCGGTTATTCGGTGAAACCACTATTCGCCGCATCTCTAACCAACATTGAAAAAGCGAATTTCTGGTGCAAGAATGTGAATTGCCTTTTGGTAATTTTCACAAACAGCAACTTTTTTCCTTGCGACGGCGTCTACGGCAGCCATTCTTGCGCTCGCTTGGGCGTTTTTGATGGTCACTGCTCTGCGCAAGCCGCCTGTGGACGTTTTCTTGCCTAGGTCTTGTAAGAAGGCTACGCTTTTGCCGAATTTGGAGTCTCCTTTTCTTGGCGCCGCGTACCTCTTTTTTTGTATCTTTCCAGGGTGTTTTATGTGTGTAGTTCTACTTGTGGTCTCCGAGTCCGACATGGGAGAGACCTATTGTTTTTGTGGTTAGCAAAGGTGGCCTCAGACCTCTTTCTGACCGGAAGGGGGGAATGTGGGGGTTATTATTAACTAAAATATTTTTTTATTATTTAATATTAACTTTACTGCTATAAAATACAGGCTCTCGATCTTCAAATAATTTCTTCAGACTCTTCATAAACTTCTGAAGATCATGCCACTCCGATGTGCTGCTGTTCAGCTGGACCTTCGCGGTGAGCAGCGCCTTCTCGCGCGGGCAACACCCTGAGCGCGTCGCTGGTGGTGTAGGCGCTCACCTCTACGTAGTAGGTGCCGTCGAGCGGAGCGGTGCGCCGCACGGAGCCGTTGGCGACCTTGGTCGTCAGGCTGCTGTCCGTCCAGCTGCGAGTGAGCCGCGGAACCCCGACGTTGGGAGTTCTCGACCGCTAGCCGTACCGACCCGACCTCCCGTAGGAGGATATCAGTCCACTTCCCCTACCGTTCCAGCACCTACTTGCAACCCCACACTCCTACCACCTGCCCCCCACCCCTAGCCCCCCTTCCTGAAACTTCTGGTATAAAGTCTCCTACACTTCCCCAATTTAAAAATACCCCTAAATTTGCAACCCCACCTTCCTACCACCTGCCCCCCCTCCTGAAACTTCTGGTATGAAATCTCCTACACCTCCCCAACTTAAAAAAAAAACCCTAAAATGGATGCAATATGGTTAAGTTCAACATAGCGAGTGTTATTTAATGCCAAAATCGCGAAATCTTATGCGTAGTACGTATACATCGATGATATTTTGTATGTTAAAAATTCAAAGCAAAAATCTTTTTTTCTCTTAACTCCAGGGACAGATTTCAGTGCGCTTCGGTTTAAACATTAGTATAGGCCTGAGGAATAAAATGCACTATTGGTTGATTCTGGGAAACACTTGGTCCAGACCCTGGCACTATCCTTTGTAGAAAAATTATTGACGTGCTGATACCCAAACTTACAGTTATAACACTACACTAATAATAATGAAAAACACACAAATCGGAATCGGGTTAAGTTTAGTATGATAATAATAACCCTCTGGAAAACCTATCTCCGGTATGTTACCCATTCCGGTCGCTGCTTCAACTCCCATTAGAGCAATCACCCTCTGTTCTAAATCTGATAAACAGATTTTAAGGGCTGGCCCACCTCCGGTGCTTCTCATGGATTTGTTGATTTTGGCAGATTTCTTTTTCGTATTATTCTTGAGATCTGCCCAAACCTTAAGCCATGCAAAAACAAAAGTGAGGAAAAGCAGGATGCATAAAACAGAATCATAGCATAATATGTGTGTGTGTATAAATTAATGATAATTTCTTATTTTACTACTCGACCACGCTTACTGAAAAACAACAGCGATCATGAACAGGACGGCTTTATAGCCCGAGTGCTCCCATACCATCTTAATTTGATTGATTGCAGCTAGCTCGGAGCCTGTGTACTCAGTGTTTAGAACCTTGCCCACAAGAGCCTCTCGTAGACCCAATCGGGCCTTCATTTCCGCTTGGAAAATTGTGACACTGTCAAACACGTTGTTCTCTTGAGCATTCTCTAGCCGGGACGGAACACCGAGACCAGCTAACATGGCCTCCCACCTCTTCTTCAGAGCCGGTCGATTAGTGGCATTTATCTCTTTTCCGAGAGATGAGGAGACACATTCCTAGATACAGTTTGTGTTGACCATAGTCCCTGTCTGGTTTTGCTATCCATCCAGGCTTCTCAGCCCCTGTGATTTGTCGGAGGGTGGTGTTGAGAAGTCCTTACAGCTGCAGATACAACATATCTAGAGGTGGGGAAATTGGTCCCCTGAGCAGCATCATATTCTCCTCCTTGGGACATAAGGGTTTCAATATTGGTGAGGTAATCCACATCCTCGGCAGGAGTGAGATTTATCGGTTCTCTGTTTACATTCATGATGGGAAAAGATGACGCTCAGCAAGACTAAGGTCGTCCACGAGCAACGGCCTCAGACAAAGTGTTGGTTGCTCCGACTCCCTTTGACCCATAGCCTTTGCGCTTTTGGTTCGATCCAAAAGTGAGCGAAAAAATTATTGACGTGCTGATACCTAAACTTACAGTTATAACACTACACTAATAATAATGAAAAACATACAAATCGGAATCGGGTTAAGTTTAGTATGATAATAACAACCCTCTGGAAAACCTATCTCCGGTATGTTAGGTACCCATTCCGGTCGCTGCTTCAACTCCCATTACAGCAATCACCCTCTGTTCTAAATCTGATAAACAGATTTTAAGGGCTGGCCCACCTCCGGTGCTTCTCATGGATTTGTTGATTTTGGCAGATTTCTTTTTCGTATTATTCTTGAGATCTGCCCAAACCTTAAGCCATGCAAAAACAAAAGTGAGGAAAAGCAGGATGCATAAAACAGAATCATAGCATAATATGTGTGTGTGTGTATAAATTAATGATAATTTCTTATTTTACTACTCGACCACGCTTACTGAATAATTTGCAGTGGACAGAAATTTAATTTTACAATAAAAGAATATCACAATATGTTGGCGACATCAAACCTTTTTACTTTTTTAACCTTTATTTTTGTCTAAAACGGCACTGCGGGCCTCTATGAAAGCGATCATGAACAGGACGGCTTTATAGCCCGAGTGCTCCCATACCATCTTAATTTGATTGATTGCAGCTAGCTCGGAGCCTGTGTACTCAGTGTTTAGAACCTTGCCCACAAGAGCCTCTCGTAGACCCAATCGGGCCTTCATTTCCGCTTGGAAAATTGTGACACTGTCAAACACGTTGTTCTCTTGAGCATTTTCTAGCCGGGACGGAACACCGAGACCAGCTACCCAGCCAGCCTCCCACCTCTTCTTCAGAGCCGGTCGATTAGTGGCATTTATCTCTTTTCCGAGAGAAATGAGGAGACACATTCCTAGATACAGTTTGTGTTGACCATAGTCCCTGTCTGGTTTTGCTATCCATCCAGGCTTCTCAGCCCCTGTGATTTGTCGGAGGGTGGTGTTGAGAAGTCCTCTTGCGAACCATACAGCTGCAGATACAACATATCTAGAGGTGGGGAAATTGGTCCCCTGAGCAGCATCATATTCTCCTCCTTGGGACATTAGGGTTTCAATATTGGTGAGGTAATCCACATCCTCGGCAGGAGTGAGATTTATCGGTTCTCTGTTTACATTCATGATGGGGAAAGATGACGCTCAGCAAGACTAAGGTCGTCCACGAGCAACGGCCTCAGACAAAGTGTTGGTTGCTCCGACTCCCTTTGACCCATAGCCTTTGCGCTTTTGGTTCGATCCAAAAGTGAGCGAAAAGCTCTGGCACAACAAACAACGCGAGCAGTGGCGCGCAATGGCCTGAGCCATTAACTAAAGCGCGTGAAATTTGCAACTACCGGAAGAAATGAATCGCGCACGTTGGTTACTGCTACGGTTTCCGAAATAGGCGTCGAGCGTTTCACAATATGATATACCTACCTAAATATGCTATAAAAAAATAGGGAGGCCTTTGTCCAGCAGTGGACGTCTTTCGGCTGAAATGAACGTATAAAATGTTTTAGATCTATTAATTATGATATTCTCCGACTCATAGCAAAATTACATTTCTTTCCACTTGACATTCATCTAGTTTTCGTGGTCGAGCGTAATATAATGTACATTGTACATCAAAGTATGTATGTGATGGATGATAAAGCATGAAGAAAGAAATTAGTAAGGTCATATGGGGTAAGACTAACATAGTTTACTGGGTTTCGTCATATATTGGTTTTTCTGGCAAATGTCTTTATCTTACTTTTGAATTGGTAATTAAATTGGGTTAGCATTTGTGATAACTTCTATAAAATAATGGCGATTCTTTTATAAGTTTATTCAAAACCGATTATTTAAACTGCTAGTCTTACCCCACTAAAGGGGCAAGACTAACAATGACTTTCTTTATCATGAAAAAAACATATTTTAAGGATCCTACGAAAAACCAAAAGGTTTTAAGTAAAAACTTTCATTTTTATCTTTATGCCTATACAATAAGGTTCTTTTTTGAAATTATGCGAACATTGACTTGGGGGAAGACTGACATACAATCGCAACCAGGGGTACAAAACCACATTTATAAATAAAAAAGTTAAAGCATAGAATAGGAGTTTTTATTTAAAATAGTAGGAGAGTTTTTATTTAAAACAACGTAACTAGTCTGTAGAACCTGCTAGTAAGGAATTATAATTATATAGGGTTTTTTTCAGCCGTTTTTCATCATAGCAAATGTTGTGATAGGGATAGAGACATGCGATTTTTAGGTTTACAAAGATAATACGATAGAGAATAATACAAAGTAATAAAAACCACCTGTTATACGGGCATTTTTTGGAGAAATTTATCAAATAACCAAAAAAACACGAATTTAAAAGCAGAATTTTTTCAAAAAGTATCGTTTTTTATTATTTGTTGGCATTTTTTGTGTTATTTAGCATTATTACTGTTTTTATTTTATCAGGATATACCGCTTAGTTTAAAAGTTATTGCGTTTTCTTTACAATAAGTAATTGGAAGAAAAAAAATTCTATAAAAAATCTCAAAAAAAAAATTGACCACTTTTTTGTCGATAAAAATAGGTCTAGTTTCATCTATTTTCATATACAAATTGTGGTTTTTTCACAGACAAATTGTGACGTTTTTTGAACGCCAAAAACCAGTCTCCTCCAGGAATGTCGTTTGTAAAAGGGTTTTGGATATTGTTTTTGACGACGTAGTGCCCAACAAGTTCAATTATTTCTTTTCTTGACAATCCGAATCCATATTTTTCCATTAGGGTTCCAGATAGTACGTGGGACAAAGTTTAGAAAAATATTTAAAAACTACATTTTGTACTGACTGATTTTAAAACATATTTTATTGAATATTTAATTTTATAATACTCTACGATGATAATGTTTTTTAAGAATGTTACTATAGTAGAAAATGCATTATTGGATGTTTATTGTAACGGAATGCTACATGGGACAGGTACAATATGTTAGGAAAACCTTTCTGTTACCACAAATGACCACTCTGTAACTTAAAAAAAAAAACAAAAATATTGAAACTTGAGTCGTTATTCCAATAATGGATGTTCGCTAATGCGATGTATTTTGTATTTAATATCTAATTCGTTAATGATTTTGACATTATTGATAACAAAAAAAATAAAAAATGTTGAGGGACTCGTTTACCTGCGCAAAATTTGACAATGACCCATAGGCGTTTTGATTGCATGTCCGGTAAAAATAAACGGTGTCCAGCTTTTGTTGGGATTTGTAAATTTCACAAACAAATAAGCGCCAAGCATGGCAAATGCAACATACATTTTGGCTAGTAATATTAAAAAAAGCTTGACATTACAAACATTTTTTTGTTGCACCTATTAATAATAATAATACGTTTATTTAAGACCATTATGATCCATACAGAGTTGCGTTAGTAACAATATTATACTTAAAATCTAGGTTAGTAGTAACATAAGAGACAGAATCCTCATTAACCTGTTCAGCCTATTAAGGCAAAAGTCTGGCCAAACTAGCTGGTCTGTCCGGTCCGGCTATTAGGTTTTGCGATCTGGCAACCCTAACCTCACATACAGCTCAAGAGTCCCTAGAAATTCTAAAATTAAATAAGCCTAACTTACCTTCCCCACTTTTCTTCTGGTTTTCAGTCTCCCGTCCCATCACTATTCAATATGGCAGTTAATTCTCGCCCCTTTTTGAGACACCACTGGCGTCCCTGAGGCCACCAGTCGGCTTCGATAGGTCTCCATGACTAAAAAAAGAATTCTATTATTATTAATTTTTTGCTGTTAGATTCAATGCAATTACCTTTCCATGAAATCAACCATGGTCCCAAACTGAGAATAGCTGGTTTTGCAAAAATGAGCACGCACGGCGGCAAAAACGTAGACGTAGCCTGGGTCAAACAGCGAAGCAATAAATTCAGTGTCCAGTAATTTAGCAAAGGTCGTCAGTAAGGCAAGCAGATCCAGTCCAGAAACGTAAACAAGTCGTCGAAAATATCCAAAATCTCTTGAAAAACTCGCGGAGAAGCACATTCACGAAAACTCAAAAGCAACGGAATGACCAAAGAGTAAAATAATTATACCAATGGAAAAGAGAGCCCTCTCGCAGACTTTTTTGATATCCTATTTGATTCGCTAACGCCATCTATTATCATGTACTTGAACTACCACGGACTGCAGGCGCTACATATAGGTAGGTATCTATAGGACTAAAATAGAAAGACACAGGTCTTGACGCGACATTTATGAATGAGTTACATTGAGTACTGACGGCTTGATGTTTCGGCTGCTATGCTGCAGCCGATAATGTACATAATGTAACTCAATCATAAATGTCACGTTAAGACCCGTGTCTTTCTATTTTAGTTTAAATGGAACGTGAAAGTTTAAAATCTATAGGACTGTCAGTTAAATATCTATAGGTGACTTTTAATTGAGTGCATTTTTAGTTTAGTGTTCTACTATGAATATAAATTTTACAATGAAACCAACACTGAAATTACTAAAAATAATTAGCTGTTCCATACATTTTGCTATAACAGCACTTGGAACTTTTTATGAAATAGCTGATATTTTTGTCGGTGCCTTGTATTGTTGGTAGGGATGTTCCGATACCACCTAAGTATCGATACCTACTCATTTCGATAATACTCAAATCTTTTTTCGATACTACTTAAATAAGTACTCCTAAAGTATCGATACTTACTGATATCGATACTTTTTGGAACTTTTATTTTGTTTTATTATTTTGAGGGTGCTATCAATGAACGTTGAAGGACAATAATTTAAACAAAATTGAGAAGAAAACAACTATTTATTTATCGGTTTATGCCATGATAACATTGGAATAAACCGATGAATTTGATGATTAAAATTAATAAAATTACTTGTAAATAGTCACTTAACACTTTCACAATGGCGGAATGGCGAGATGATTTGCGGGCGGGTGCGGGTGTCTCCTTCTCTCGTTTTCGGCTCGGGCTCTAGTAACTCGGTAACCGATTAAAGCTGATTAGCTGACTGTTTTTACTCTCTCAGTTCTGTATGATGCGTTCTCGGTTTTTTTTATTGTTTTCGGTTGTTTTGCTGATTCGATTCGATACCAAGTATTTTTGTTTCGATACCGATTATGTATCGCAAAATTGATTCGATACAATAAATACTTGGTATCGAATCAAAAGTATCGAGTACCTACTCGTATTTATTAGTATCGGATTATCCCTAATTGTTGGTGCCTTAGTAAAATTTATTCTCATTCAAGCGTGGAACACAAAATATGCGCACTCTAAAAAGTCAACCCGTATAATGGTTTAATGATATTAGTATGGGAGTAGAACAATAAATGATAAAACAAAATAATTTTATGACTATTTATTTTTTAAGCAGTACTTGTGTTTTTCATAATATGATTTTGCAGCAACTTTTGTTTCATCATCCCCTTCATACGACACTTTCCCTGATAAAATTCGATTAATTTCTCTACACCAACTATTAATTAATATGTTTAAGGAAGTCTTTATAAAATAATCTGTTAATACATCTTTATGTATAGGGCAATTACAGGGAAAAATATTTAGGGTTTTTGTCATCCATAATATTTTTGATTTTAAATTTTTCTTAGGAACATTTTTACTTAATATTGAGATTGTATTTTCTTGTATTTCATAGAAATAACTTACTACCTCGTTGGAGGGATATGTCAACCACTTCTTCATTTTATTATATTCTTTGTTTTTTATGAATTCATTTATCTTTATTTTCTTCTTTGCATAATAGTTTTGATTTGCATATGACACAGCCTTTTACAATATTTTTCAAACATTTTGTTATGACCCAACCGCAGACATAATTTCTCTGGCCCCTATCAGGCTGTATTTCTTTTTCTGTTAACATTTCTTCATTAATTTCAATTTCTTCAGGAATATCTTTTACACTACTTTCTGAATTTTCTTTTAAAAGAAATCAAATGTTTGCAGACATTTGTTTTCATCCTTCTCACAATTTGCATTAATAGCATGGGGCGAGTTATAATTATTTAAAAGAAGGGCTTTAAATGCACCTTCAAATGCTACAACATTAGGGGAATTATTTACGGATATTCCCGAAAAAAATTTCTATAGGGTCTTGGTTAAAGTGCCGCGTCAACATACAGTCAAAACTATATTTTTTTAATAAAATATTCCATACGACTTCAAAGCCCTCAATAGTTTTGACAAAGTTATTGGTACTTGGTACTGTGGTTTCTACTAATCAAACTTTATCACCAGTTTTTTTCTTTGCTATGAATTTAACTGATTTAAGAAGCTGTTTAGCTTTTATCCAGAGCCGATGATGGGGTGATGATTTTCTTACGCAGGATGCGTTATACATTTTACCATTGGGTATATGAAATGTGTTACTATTTAATTAATCAAATAGTTTATCTATAGTTAAAACAAAATTAATCAAATTGCGACACTCTTCGTTTATTATACCTCTAGCTGTCAAATGTTCCGCCACAACCGCAACACTATGGCTGAATATTTGAGCTGCTGTCTTAACACGCATTTTTTTAATTTTGTCAATATTTATATGTTCCTCGGATATTTTATTCAATAAACGAAGTTCCCCAAATGTTTTGTCGGCTTCGTAAATTTCTTGAAAATATTTCCATTTAACAATTTTTTCTTTATTCCCATCGTCCATATCAAAATAAATCATGTCTTTAGTTAATAAATTATTTCTAAGCCCTTTCAACAAGTGGGGAACATCATATAAAGGTACGATCTTTTTACAATTTATTTCATAGAAGTCGTGTCGCCATTATTTTCCTTTCTTTAACATCTTATTTTTTGTTTCTTGTATAAGTAGTGAAATAGCTCCTAAATTAATAGTACTTTGATAGCATACTGAGCATAAAATAATTAAACCAGTGGCTTGTACTTTTTTTATTACGTTTTCTATTACATTTTTTAAATCAAATTTAGTGAGGCTGTTAGTGAAGTAATAAGCCACTGGTTACTTAAAATTGGATTTGATTCCCTTAACCATAAACACTAAGACATGGTTGGCAATCAGGTTTTCCTTACCGATGTTTACAAACCCTTTCAATCTGTCATTGGCCATATCGTAATTTATTTGTGGAGTCAAAGACATTTCGTCAAAAATTAATGTGCAAAGACGGTCTTCAATACACATTTCTTGAACTGTTATTTGCAGTTTTTCAAAGACCTTTTCATTCAGACCGGGTTCTAACTTCATTTTTGCTAAAATTCCTTGAAGCGTTTTCTTTGATGGTAATATAAACTCGTGCTCCAGTGTAGAATAGCACTTTGGGCTTCTTTTAAACAGCGAGAGTGACAAAATTTTTTCCTCCAAAGTGAATCGCCGTCCACTAGGTCGTTTGTGGCTTTGGCTGGATTGCATATGTGTAAATAATTTGGCAGAAGGTGTCATATTTTTGGTGACCTTCTGGAACGCCAAGTTCATGCTCATTTTAGTAGCACACACTAGTCTACTTTTAAAAGTTGTGCTGTTACATACTTACTGTAGTAAGTTACATCCAAGATGCTGAAACATACTGAAATTAACGACTGGTCCGTCACATGTGACACTGACGATTTTGACGCCAGCGTCTTTACATTTTTGCAAGCATGTTTGTACAAGAGAAGCTTTTTGTTCCCCGCTTAAACTAGTTATCAAGAAATAGGCTACTGGCAATTTCCATTTTCCGTTTATACAATTAACTAAAAAAACAAGAGACTGGTTTGCTACTTCCAAGGAATCGCTTTCATTTTCAATGCCAATATTTACACGGCCATGGTATTTCTGGGATTTAGAATCCCAACATAGTGATTTCCTTATGGACATTTCGTCTAATATCAAAGCACACACCAATGGGATTTCACTACACTCTACTTTGGCTTTCAGGGCATCGAATGCTTCTTTGCAAAATCCAGGTTCTGCATCCACATTCTGGTACCATTTACACAATGTTCGTGGATGCGGTAAACACGAATCATATTGAGAGCGCACAAAATCGTAAGCTCTTGGTGATAAAAAATGTAACGTTAAAGCGAATTTTCTAATTTCCTCACTGTAACATCTCTCTGTAGGCAAGCCTTTGCAATTAGATATTTGTCTCAAAAGGAAATCTTTGGGTCCCGCAAGTGATGAATTTCTTTGAGTGCTTTATTCTGTAACAATAATAATAATGTAAATGTTATGATAATATTTAAGTTTTTGATGAACTTCCTGAGTGCTTCATTCTGTAACAATAATGTAAATGTTATGATATTTAAAGGAGTTGTCCCAAAATGTATGGAGCCTAGGCCAACAACCTGTACACCTACCAAAAAGAAGGGCTTTTAAATCTACAACAGTTTCTTATCATTCAATTTCTTTTAAATGGCTTTGTTTATTCGTTCAAAACAAAAGATTGTTAAAGAAAATAGCAATACTCAACAACAAAAACCATCATGGTGGATGAATGTCATTTTTAAGAACATCTGTCACTTTTGACATTAAGTCGTATCTTGGTGTGAAGAAAAATAAAAATAGTCATAGTCTTATATGTAAAGAATACGCACCATTGAAGCCAATTAACAGAATAATCCACAAAGTACCTTTTTTAAATGGAAATAATCAATCGGCAAAAGAACAAAGAAATAAAACTAAAAGTCGATTGCCCTGATAACCTATTCATCATGATCATCATCAACAGCCCTTTGGACTAAGAGCCTCCTCCACTGTAGTGGAGGGTTTTGCCATAATCCCCACGCTTGGCAGGCGGGTTGGAGATCGCATTTTAAAAGATTGATGTGGTTAAGAGAGCGGTGCCGCCCGTGCTCTGTTTGATGTGTAGTCCCTAACTTATTACAGTGCTATTAATTGTCTAATAACAGATTTTGTGTTAATCTAACTTTTTTAAATATGATTAGAAGTAATCTGTTTTATATAATAATAATTTATTTATTTATTTCTCTCACAACATATTAGGAAAAACATTTCATATATCTGTTAAATTGTATGTTTTCTTTGTGTTGAAAAACCTAATACAAATTATTCAGAATGAAAGCTTTTGATAAGATTACTGGCTTACTGCTACTTTACCCACAATGATCAAACTAACCTGTTTTTCACATAGGATGTATAGGGGTGTGTTAGTAAATAAAACAGCTTTATATTTTCATTGGTTTTTATTCATCATCATCTTCCCTTATTAATATATTATCTAAGAATGAGGCCGGTGCAGCAATAGTATCCTGATGCCGAGCCCAACCCAAGTACCACACAATGGTCATCGTATGAGCACAGCAACCAACTGTTCGCTGTCCTGAGATGCAGCTGCAATAATAGCTTATTATTTTATCATCCCAGCTAGTTCCTTGTCTCGCAATCAATATACAACGTGTCCCAAAATTCAACGATAAGCCGACGCCACAGGATGGACATAGTCATGACTACTTTAGGAAAAATAAGGAAAAAAATCTATCTGAATTATTTTTTAACTTACACAATAAATTATAAAATTTGACGAAAATTGACACCCCTTATGATATTTTACATTACCACGACCACAATTATTTAAATATTCCTGTTTTTCTGTTTATATCGGTAACTTAAGCAGTGCTGCTGTTCGTCCCAACTCTTAAAACCCCCAGAATCCTTGCAGTTTTTACACAATAGTTAATCAAAATATGTAATTTCTTTAAAATTTTCAACGATTTTTACTTTCATTCCACTTTGACTCATCGTTTTGTAAAAAAAAAGTATGAACGCTACTGCGGCAAGTTTTTTATAAAGTTGACGCAACTATCCAAGATTCCAAAATGGTATAATACTCTAAGAAACCTAGTCGCAAAAAAGATATGCGTACCATTTTTACAAGCACTTCGCTTGTTAGTAGTAGGTATAGGATAAATCTTGCAACTGAATTTAAAACCAGTTCTCCTTAACAAATTGAGCTGAAATTTGGTATACTTGTGTAAGTACGATGACAATGCAATATTATGGTACCATTGAGCTGGATGGAGTCTGGAGGTGGCCATAGGAACTCTTAACGAAACGGCGGAATTGCATCTAGTTTGGGTTCGTTGGACTTGTCTTTTCGAGCACTTTAGTGCTAGATGATGTCCAGGGTCCTGAAGATGAAGTCAAGAGGTGGCAGGAGCTGGCCATAGGAACTCCTAAACGAAACGGCGGAAGCTTATCAAGTTTGGGTTCGTTGGATTTGTCTTCCCGAGCACTTGGGCCATGAGATTGAGAAACAACTAAAAAGTTTAAAATAAAGTTGTTGTAATAAAAAAACTTTTTTAAAAACAAGTTTGACTTCGTTTGAATATTATAATTGACTTCATCATCAGGACCCTGGACATCATCTAGCACTAAAGTGCTCGAAAAGACAAATCCAACGAACCCAAACTAGATGCAATTCCGCCGTTTCGTTTAGAAGTTCCTATGGCCACCTCCAGTCTCCATTCAGCTCAATGGTACCATAATATTGCATTGTCATCGTACTTACACAAGTATACCAAATTTCAGCTCAATTTGTTAAGGAGAACTGGTTTTAAATTCAGTTGCAAGATTTATCCTATACCTACTACTAACAAGCGAAGTGCTTGTAAAAATGGTACGCATATCTTTTTTGCGACTAGGTTTCTTAGAGTATTATACCATTTTGGAATCTTGGATAGTTGCGTCAACTTTATAAAAAACTTGCCGCAGTAGCGTTCATACTTTTTTTTNTTCTGGGGATTTTATGAGTTGGAGTGGACAGCAGCACTACTTAAGTTGCCGATACAAACAAAAAAACAGAAATATTTGAAAAATGGTGGTCGTGGTAATGTAAAATATCATAAGGGGTGTAAATTTTCGAAGAATTTCGTAATTTATTGTGTAACTTAAAAAATAATTGAGATAGATTTTTTTCCTTATTTTTCCTAAAGTAGTCATGACTATGTCTATCCTGCGGCGCCGGCTTATCGTTGAATTTTGGGACACGTTGTATATGAATAATATGTTCTCCCAGAATGATGGCGAGACTTTATTCGACCCCTTACTAACACAGGGTCCGGTTGCTGGGATGAGGTTGCATGGGACACAACTTCCAGATGGTCAGATACTTCCACCTGAAATGACCCACGTTGCCGTATGTGTTCACCATAGTAGCTTCGGGCTTGTTTTATTTGGTAAGTGCCAAGTGCAAATATTGTTAGATCTGATAGGGTCATTTCAGGGAAAATATCTAATTCTGGAAGTTGTGCATTAATGCTTGTGAATTGGGCTCGGAATCGGTTTATTCTATTATCTATTATAAGTTGAGCTAATCTGTTAGGCATTTCTTTTCTTTCTATTGCTCTATTTAATATAATTTCTGCATCCGGCCTATTCACAATTACTGGATGAAAGGCATTAATAAGACTAGCACAAATTCGAAAGTCGTCCATTAGATGGGTTGCAGCTATATTAAAATAATCATTGCGAAATAATTTGAAATCTCTTTTAAAGCGTCCATTTACCACTTCTACCACCCATCTGCATAATGTAACACATCTTGATTTATTGGCCTTAATCGTAGACAACTGAGTCTCTCCTGGTTCAAGTGATTCAGGCTGATACACTTTATATCCTAATGAATCCAAGAACGGGATTGCATCACGGAAGCCCCTGTCCAAAATGAATACATCATTTGCCTCAAAATATCTCCTCAATTCTCTATTTTCATTTTGGAAAAGGGCTTTCATAATATTAGCATCAGACTCAGTTGCCGGATAAGGCCCAAATGTATCAATGATATGACCATCACTGGCCACAAGTAGAAATGGTTTGACTAAATTACGGTATTTGTGCAAACTATAAGTTTTTTTCTGAAACAGATAATTTGAAGATTTTTGCAAGTATATATATGTACCATCAAAAATTACAATTGGTACTCTCTCTTCTCTATCGCCAAATAAACCCTCAGGTATTATAAGATTTCGATTAATCAATTCTTCTCTTGAAAGATGATTAACACCTAAATGAATAGGCACAAATATAGTAATCAGAGCCTCTCTAGCCGCATTTAATAAACGCGTTATTGCCGATTTGCTTACACATAACAAAGAAGAGATTCTTCTGTGGGAGTCTCCAGTACGAGCTTTAATTAAGTATGCCCCTAAGGCAGTTCGTGGTTTTTTGCAAGTCATAGCTGGACTGATTTGGTTAAAAATTATATTATAGTTTTGTTTTGATAAGCCTGTCCAGTATTTAAAAATAACATCATCAATTTGTTCAATGCTTTCAAAATCTAAATGACTTTCTACTTCTCGAATACTAAGTCTTAGCATAGACTGCATCTCAGTTTTTGTAAACACTTTTGAGAATTCATGCTGTTCTAGAAACTCCCAATTATATAATGATATGTGTTCATTACACACTCTAGCATTATCTGTTACAAATACTTTTTGGGACGTTAAAATTCGCTTTCTAAGACTAATTGGAACATTGTACCTCTCAGGATTTGTGCAGTAGGGCACAAAACAATGGCTACTAGAATTTGAAGTGTGTGTAAAATCATCAAGCTCCATCACTGGTGTTGTTACTGGAACATTTTCCATCGTCGTTCCAGATGGTGAAGCTTCTTCACGAATTTGGGATGCATTTCGTCTAACATATATAGTCCAGCAACTTGTACACAAAAGGTGCCCCGATAACTAAAAGAGAAAGGTACAGATAATCAAAACATAATATTTTAAACAAGTGTGATGTAATAAATTAAATTGTTAATTTGCTATTGTTAGAAGTCCTTGTTTCAATCTACGTTGCAATTGAAATAATATCATAACAAGTAAAACATTAATATTAAGTGTATAATAGTAAATTATTCACACTAAAAGGTAATCACATACCTCGCGTGGATAAATGCTTGCTGCTAATTCATATCTCGCAGGCCCAGTAGGTATGGCATGTGTTTGCCTCCGGAACAAAGACATGCGGCATAATGCACAAGAATCATCTTGGTGGCGTGCAGAAACTGGATTTTGACGCACCTCATCAATGTTCTGGGCTCTTTGCACATTTCTACGTGCTGTGACCCAGCATGCATAACATACACGGCCTCCAGATGGAATCTAAAAAGAGTAAAATATATAATTAAGGATACAAACTTAATACTTATTTTATTATTTATTTATAAAAATATTAATATGTAGCTACTTATAAAAATCATCATCATCATCATCAACAGCCCTTTACAGTCCACTGCTGGACTATGAGCCTCCTCCACTTTAGTGGAGGGTTTTGCCAACTTTTGCTTATAAAAAAAATAAAACTTAAAAGTAACATTACCTCTCTAGGAAAAATTCTTGCAACTATTTCATCCCGTTCCGGACCCTCTGGCAATGAATGCCTTCTGGTCTCAGCAAGAGAGCGTAAGCACCATACACATGACATATTTATTGCCGAGGGTTCTCTGCTTACAGGAGCTACTTCAACTTCTTGTTGTGGAAGAGATCGTCTAACTCTTATCCAACACGCGTAGCACACTAAGCCATCTTCGGGTACCTAAAAAGTAATGACAGAATTAACATTACAATAAATAGATGTTTTACATAATACCCAATTAATACAACCATTAAAAAATATGCATAATAATTATTTAGAAATAATAATACTTACAATTCGTGGTGAAATATTTTCAGCAATAAACTGTCTGGCGTAGTCTGTTAGACTATGAATACGCCTCTGAAATAATGAGCTTCGGCACCATACACACACGTTTACATCATGCGTATGCTGTAGTTCAAACTGTTCTTGTACAGATGACGTGTCACAAGAAGCAGCACACATTATTTGCATAATATTAGCAAAACAATCTTCACATATGATGCCATTTTCATCCACCTTATAAAAGAATAAATATATTATGTAGTTATTATAAGATGATAAAAGATATAAATAAATGAAACTATAACACAACAAATATAGTTTTAACTCACCTCTTGGCCTATGGCATTTTGAATAATGGAAATGATTTCAGGGCCCATTTCACTACACTGATAGATTTGGGAATCTTCATTTATATCAGAAGAACATGAAGTACAGAGCGCCATGATTGTGGCTTCTAAAACAAATATAATGAGTTTAATACAGTAAGGAAGTAATAATTAACGATTAGATATTCTATGAACAATTAAGAAAATGTTATAAATCGTTTACATACCAATCGGATCCTCTGGAATGTCTAACAAAAGAACAAAGTCCAAATCGCACGATATGTCTCAAGTCCATATAACACAAGCCGGGTCATCAGATGAGGCAGATAACAATCCAAAAACGAAAGCCAGGTCAGAACTTGAAGAACTTGGGAAACAGCAGATCAGACACGTAAACGCAATTATCAGAACAAGACGAGTGGAGTGACAGATGAAATCTGACAGCGACTGACGTTTAGTCTATGGTTCATCTTTTTTTTTTTATCTGACGCCATACGCCATCTTGTGTATGCATTTGAGAATGATAAATTCATGATTAATTTTTGATTTTGTACGGCTAAATTATATGCTAAATATAGTTATATATATTTTTCCCTTAATCAGTAGATTTTTCTTGATTTTTGATATGGCGTACAACCTCCTGGCCGAAATTGGGATAACTCCTTTTCTGGCCTAGCATGTGACAGACATGTATTAGTTATGTAAGGTAAACCACATCATTATCATCTATGGGCTTATTTTTTTTTACAAACAAAGCAATTTTAAACTTCTTAATATTAAAACGCAAATACATATAACTTACTAAACCAGTATTTTGTTGGCTGCACACAGGATAATCAGCATTATTTGACGTTGAAGGTTGCGGATCGTCTGAAGAATGATGCTGAAATTATAAATTATACAGAAACATTAATAAATGATACACGAGTTACTAAAATAACATTTTTATTGTACATACATACTTATATCTAGACATAACATATGTATGTATAAGTGATGAATTTTCATGGGTGTACTGGGCTCATAATATCATACTATAGTATGTTTATAAGATGTTTTTACTTTAATTTTGACGGTTATCAAAAATAATTTAATTTACAAAATATATATCAGTTATCTAGCACCCATAATACAACATTCATAAGCTTACTTTAGGATTAGATGGCACTGTGAATCATCCAAGAAAATTTATTATGTACAAAAGCAAAAAGTAATAGCGTTGGTTCAAAAACAAACTTACTTTCAAAATAAGAGATGGCACTGCATCATCCTTCAGTCTTCAAATATCGAGTGTTCTATTAAATGAACTTTCATCAAAATGTAAAGAACAAAAAATGTTAACATCTTTAGTATTCGTTTTTATGTTTTCTTTTCCAATAGCTTCCAGCCAAACTAGTTTTCTGTTTTCGGTTCTAGGTAGCCTGAATACAAAAAAATGTATTTTAATTAAGTTCGTGGCAATAAATGTTAGGGCATGAATAATAAAGATGGTTTTGATCGTCTATTATTTTTTGTTTCAACATTTCACGAGTGTTTGGTTCACTCACATAAACACGTCTCTTTACTTCACTCCACATGAAAAAGTCCATCGGAGTTAGGTCGGGTGGCGCGGGGGCCAGGCGACGGGGCCGCCGCGGCCGATCCACTGGCTCCCCAACTCCTGCGTCAGGTACTCGCGCACCGGCCTGTGGTAGTGAGGCGGAGCACCGTCCTGCTGGAACCACAACTCCCGCAGGTTAGCCAGCGGAATGTCGTCCAGTATGCTGGTCACCATAGTGCGCACTAAATCTAAATAGGTTTGCCCTGTTAGGCGCCCCTAGGGTTGCTAGGCGTCCGGCTTTAGCCGGACATGTTTGGCTTTTTAGGGACTTGTCCGGCCAAATATTGCCTTGTCCGGCCTGTCCGGCTTTTGTTAGGCTTTTTATTTTGTTGCCGCGCCAGGCGAAAGTCGATCCACAGAATCATAAATGAAGCACGCACGCATCAGGATGTTGGTGACCGATGATAGTACTCACTGATGAGCTGACACTAATTGCACCCCCCCCCCCCCATCGACACCTTCAGGTTCAATTGTCGTATAAACCATTTTGGCCAAATCGAGTTATATATACCATTTTAATCAGAATTTTTTTCTCTATCGAGCTGTATATTCGAAATATTGAAATTCGCTAAAAAAATGTTTATACGCCCCAAAAAACTATAGCGTAAAAGATAAATAAATACCTTATAAACAGTGTAAAAACCGAAAGCTTGTTTTTGGTATTTTTGCTAAGATGTATCAACCATACATTTTTTTAAGCCAGGACGTAAAACTCTCTCGTAATTGAAAATGGTTTTTACGCCTAAAGACATGGCGTTTTATGTCCAGATTCAACGTCGTAAGTCCACGTATTCAATATGGTAATTATCTGTTTCATATTCATATTATTCATTTATTTATTGCATCACATTTGTATGTATGTACAGTAAGTAAGTTTTTCTTATTTATAAAGTTAAAGAAAGTTTATTGTTTCTACTTTTAAAGATAATAACTAGATATAAAAGGTTGCTTTCCAGGTCCAGTACATCCGTGAATAGTAATGATGACCGGGTCATGAAATCGAAACTCTATTTAGTCCGTCAGACAGAGAATTAGAAAATTTAGACTCATAATAATAATAATAATATAATTTATTTATTCAAGTAACATGACTCATTATTTGTTAGTTATAAAGGACTTAACCTATGTTAGTAATAATTATAGTTGAAACATCTAAACTATTCATTAATGTTATTATTTTTTTTGCACAACTCCTGCGGATGTAGTGCAGCAGTAATTAATATAACGGCAGTCCAGTCTACTCGCTATCATAGACAGGATGCTGTTGGGGCCGCCCCGAACCCTGCGCACCAGGGAGGCGCACCTCTTCCGCATGGTCGCGTAAAAACAGTCTACTCGCGCCTCTGCAAACATGCCCGATGCGCTGCAGTATCTGGGCAACCCCATCAGCACCCTGAACGCGTTGTTGTATTGGACGCGCAGAGCCCCATACGACACACGCGAACAATCAGCCCACAGGCTGCACGTGTAGAAGCTAGTGCAGTATGCTCTGAAAAGAGTTACCTTTACTGCCCTTGAACAGCGTGAGAACCTACGAGCCAGCATGTTCGCCCTTACCGACAGCGCCCTGCGAATAGAATAGAATAGAATAAAATATGGTATACAGTTGTTACAGCTATAAAAATAGGTCCACATGTTTTGCTACATCAAGAAGCTTGAATTTTATTTATATTTGCATCATACTTTCATTTTTCCCATAATCGAAGAATTACTGTATTATATTGAGTTGAAATGTCACGTAACGTCACTTTTGAGTAAAAATTCTACTCAAGAGTGACGTATCGCGCCATTTCAAGTTTTCAACTCGATGTAGCACTGATATTATTAAATTATGAAAGAAAATAAAAAATATGAGTTTCATATTTTCTAATTATCTGTTTGACGGACAAATAATTGAAATTTTGTCATCTAGCCTATTGATCTCGACTAAATGTGATGAATTCAAGACTTTTAAACAAATAAAATAAGCCATAGTGTGCACCGTGATGCCTCCTGGCATTCACGTCTCATAAAGATATTAAAATCATTACATTCGGCCTGGTATTCCCGTCTTAATAAAGATATATTCTAAAATCATTACTATTAATTTTCGAAACAATATGAATCATATTATTATTTATACAACTTGTAAATATGTGTTATTATCATGTGCAAATTTTGTTAAGAAAAGGAAGAAGATCCTGAATTTTATTTAATATTGTACATTAGGAAACTTAAAAACTAATCCACGTAACTTAGGTACTATGCACACACTGTTGGGTACAGCAGTCTTTACACAATAACTTTCCTTAGATAATACCTATTACTTATAATATTTACTTTAATTGCCCACAGAGAGCATAATAATATATGCCTACCTAAAAAGCATACTGTTCATTATTTATTTATCACTTTACTACATCAGAATTATGTTTGCACACACTGTTGGGTACAGCAGTCTATACACAATAACTTTCCTTAGATAATACCTATTGCTTATAATATTAACTTTAATTGTTTTTATCACCGAAAAAAAAAATTCTGGGTAATGAGTTATTGATACTGATCCTATTTATGCAAAAAAAAAGTTAAATAAAGCTACTCAAAATTTCATCCCAAAATTGGTAATATTTGGACACACGCGTCGCTAGCACTATTTAGTATTTACGCTCAACGCAAGGCCGCCCGTTAGTGCCTTTTCACACGTTCCGGTTGCCGGCTATCCGGCGCCGGGTACCCGGTCGTGAATGTATGGGCATGCCGGATTAATTACGCCGGAACATGTGAAAGCTACGTACCATGCCCATACACTTCACCACCGGGTACCCGGCGCCGGATAGCCGGCAACCGGAACGTGTGAAAAGGCACTAACGGGCGGCCTTGCGTTGAGCGTAAATACTAAATAGTGCTAGCGACGCGTGTGTCCAAATATTACCAATTTTGGGATGAAATTTTGAGTAGCTTTATTTAACTTTTTTTTTGCATAAATAGGATCAGTATCAATAACTCATTACCCAGAATTTTTTTTTTCGGTGATAAAAAAGTAGTGGTGTATAGGCATTTTGTATTAGTTTTTGTATAACTCCTGAAGAAAAACAAAGGGTAATATTTTGGTGTTATACATAGATTTCGAATATAAAAAATTGTATAATTTAACTAATTAAGACATGACAAAAAGCTGAGGTATGTTTCGTTTCTGTCGGGTCTGGGTTTTTTATGTATGGGGCGTGACCGTTCTTCTTTATAGATCTTAATAAACTTATTTACCTAAACTAATAACTATAAAATTATTGTTATAGTATTCTACTCATCAACATTTATTAATCATTACAGGTACCCTACCCAAACCTTACAAAGATCCAGCTCCGGCACAGAATAAGTAATAGGACCAGGTTCTGGGTACACTTAAGAAATAGACAATAATGGGATTAAAACAAAATATATGTGTGACAATTTATTTAATAAATACTTATAAAACATTAAACAATATTTTGAATTTCAATTAAAACATAGTAGGTACCTAATACACACACCGGCAGATTTAGCGGAACGCAAAAAAAAGTATGAAAATAAGGAAAATTACTACTGATCTATGAAATATTTATTATACAAAATAAAGAGATAATTAAAATAAAATAAAATAACATATATTTTTTAAATATTTAGTCGTTTTATTTAATAAAAAATCATCGAAACGAAATTTCAATTTTACAGTTTTGAACAAAAAGTAGAAATTGTGGCCAGATTANTCATTTTAAATACAATTCATCACTTAGTACCAAAGCGCGTGGAGCAAATTACTTTATCAAATAGAACACATAAATTGTTAAGAAGCATAATTACGTAATTTAAAAAGAACTATTACAAAATCAGATGTAAGCATTTTATTTAAAAAGTAATATTTAATCATTTTTACCATTCAGAATTATTACGAAGTTTAAAAAATGAAAGTTCTGGTTTTGAAGATGCCGAGTTCAAGCATCCGTATACTACGCAATACACTCGTGGCATGTTTTTAAAAATACAGCGGACAGTGTATGCAATAAAATTATTATTAAAAACACACCGCGCGCGACACTCGCGACGGATGGACTGCGAGGTTCGCTTAGACCTCGTGTAAAGCGTGCGTCTGTGTGCGTGAGTCTGATTTCGAGCGTTTGTATGAAGCTTCCGTACTGTTTTGATTTATCTACTGTGCTAATTCGCTAAGTAGGAGGTAAGTGAGTATACCCACTTACTTTCGTAAGTGACTTTATGTTGTTTACAAACACTTCTGTTTATAAGATTTTAAACGTTCGCGTTCCATTTCAACTAAAATAGTAAGGCTGCGTTGCACCACGTAATATTGACGATAACCTGTGGTTTTTGTATGGAATTTGACACTTTTTTGACATTTGTCAAAGTTAAAGTAAGATGGTGCAACCCATCCCAAGACACAGGTCTTATCGCGATTAAAACGCAGACTGCTTGTGACCACGGCTGCAGCATCGCAGCTAAAACGTCAAGCCGTGAGTACCTACATAATGTAACTCAGTGTTTTTCAATCTTTTTCATGACGCGACCCCCCTAGTATGAAAAAATATTTCGCAACCCCCCGACCGCTCGCTTTTTTTTCATGCATTTTATAATGTTACAAATATGTTGTAGGGACCAAATATTTCAATCCATACAACATTTATGCAATTGGATAATTAGATTTCGGATAAATCTATTATTATATATAACTTTACTGATTCTTTTACTGAGGTAGTTTTTACGACCTCTCGCGACCCCCCTACAGGGGCTTGGCGACCCCCCAGGAGGTCGCGACCCACAGGTTGAAAAACACTGATGTAACTCATTAA